TTTTACTGAAGAAAACATAAAAGTGTACCCCTCCCCTCTCTCTCTTTATAAGATAGATAGATAGATAGATAGATAGATAGATAGATTGATTTTTTCAAAAGATTAATTATAAATTTAAATATGTTAATAATAATAATGAAAATTAATAATAATAATAATAATAATTGAAAAAAAATAATTCAAAAGATTCTCTCTTTCTTCAACTTTTACAAACTGATACATCAATTATTATTAAATCTTTTTCTTCTTTTTATATAAAATTAAGTACAAGAAACCAATTGATAATCAAAATGGAAATTGAACAAGCCATTACATCAATCAATCATTTATAAAATTATAATAATTAACGAAAAAAAAGAAGCGTCATCATCACTCAAATCAATAATTTATATTAATTAATAATTAATTATTAATTAATTTTAACGTTCGTTTTAAAATTTAAACGAAAAAAAGAAAAAAAAAACGGTTATTACATCATTTTGGCCAGTTTATATTATCATTCGACTCGATCATATTTAGAATTACAACGACAAAAATAATTAAAAATTATTATATATTTATTAAAAAACAGACTTACGATAAACATGAGCTTTTTTCGTTCAGGTTTTCCATCATTTTCTTCACTTTTTTTTTAATTTTAAACACTTAAAAACGTTAAAACCAACTTTTTTCAAAAAGAAAATGGAACACAAGCGTACAACCCGACATCTATGTTAAAAATTTTAAACTAATATGAAATTCATACAAGGCGGTGGTGTCTGGCCAGTTAACATGATTGATGATAAACATTGATTAACCGGAAATGAAATTTTTTTCTGTTTCCTTAAGGTTAACAATAAAGACGCTTTTTTCAAAATATTAATAATAATAATAATAATAATAAAATATTTTCAATATTAAACATTTCATTTATAAAAACTCATAGTACATAAAAATTTCCAACAAAAAATAATAATAATAATAATAAAAATATAGAAATTAACCAAACAACCAAAAAAAAAAAAAAAAAAAAACTTTGATGATTATAATTAATTATTTTAACCATTTTTTTTTTATTATTACATTAAAATTTACTTATTAATATTAAATTTTATATTTCATTTGTTTATTATTGACATTTTTATAAAATTATTTATTTTATTTTATTTTATTAATTAATAAGGAAGACTCGGCCATTTTGACGGCTAAATCTCAATTATCTTAATTATATATTACGCACACGTACACGCACGCGCACACGCACACACGCACGCGAGCACATCATCATTAAAACTTATCGATAAAAAAAAAATTCTTTTTTTTCCTTATTATTATTATTATTATTATTATTATTATTATTATTATTTTTAACAATACACAAATCATCATTATCATCAACGATTGCAACAGGAAATAGTTGCGTAATGGGCGGTCAAATTTTTTTTATTGGTGTTTAGATTTAATAAAATAATAATAATAATAATTCAATACAATCAAAATACAATAATAATAATAATAATAATAATGATAATAATAATGATAAAATCAACCATTTCCTGTGCTTAAAACACAACCAGCCTTTTCAATTATTATTATTATTTTTAATTTTAATTTCTTTAACAAATTTTATTTTATTACATCATAATAATAATAATAGTAAATATAAATATAAACATTATTATTATTATTATTATTATTATTATTATTATTATTATTATTATTATTACAATAATTAAGGCAAGTTTAACATTCTTTTTTTAATAAATTTATTTAATAAATTTTCTTTTTTTCTTTATCGAGGGAGGGAGGGAGGGAGGGGGTGGTTTTTTTACTTGTCCTCAAAATAAATAATATAATCCAGGGGGTGTGGTTGGGGGTGGGGCGTGGGGGGCCGGATTTATTTCAAATGATAAAAATGAAAACTTTTTTTTTTTTGGCTTTTTTTTTGTACGCTTAATTTAAAGGTTTTTTTTTTTTTTTTTTTTTTTTTTTTAAACGGAAAATTCACTACAATCTAAAATTTTAAAAACTACTACATTGTAGTCATGCCCCTTAAAATATACAACAACAAAATAATAATAATAATAATAATAATAATAATAATAATAATAATAATAATAATAGTAAAACTTAAAGTTTTTATCGTTTCTAATTTATTAATAACCAAAAAAAAAAAAAAAAAAAAAAAACTATCGATATAACATTAATTGTAACAATAACAATAATAATAATAATAATAATAATAATAATAATAATATATCATTACAATTATTTACTTTAAACGTTATCATATATATCACGATTCGAATAATCAGAATGACAACATTGAAAAAAAAAAATTTTTTTCTTTCTTTCTTTCTCTCTTTATTACGTAACAAATTAATTAAAAATTTTTTAAATGAAAACAAAAAAAAAAATAATAAAATTGTCTTTTCAATTAATTATTGATTATACTAATTATAATAATAATAATAAACGATAAATTTTTTTTTTCTAAATAATAATAATAATATTGAAATTAATGGTACTCTCTATCTCTATCTCTCTCTCTCTCTCTCTCTTTCTGACTAGGGATCTAACAATTTTTTATTTTTCAATTAAAAATATTTATTTATTTATTTTTATTATTATTTTTAAATCCTATCGTAAACCTATAGTAATAATAATAATAATAATAATAATAAATGACGATAACTAAAATTAATAATAATAATAATAAACTATTAGTACCTTAAAAAAATAACAAATGAGAAAAAACAAAGCGTTTTTTTTTTTTTTTGACTTTTCTTTTTATTTTCATTTAAAACTAATCGTAAAATTCATTTTATTAATAATAATAATAATAATAATAATAATGATAATGATAATAATAATAAAACAAAAGTAACTAATCCATTAATTATTATTTATTATTATTTATTTTTTAATTAATAATTTTCTATTTAAGCCTATGTATTTAAAATATATTCACGTCTAAACGAAGGTGATGGTGGTGGTGGTGGTGGCGTAACGCAAACGGAAAATTTTAAATTTAATTAAAAAAAAAAAAAAACGTAGCCGTAAATTATTATTATTATTATTATTAATATAACGACGCATATGTAGTGGGTAGTAGGTAAACGAATTCGAATAAAATCTAATGACACGTTAAAAAAAATCTCTCTTCTCAACGGTTTATTTATTTACTTCGCGAATTATGCGTTTATCCTATTATTATTATTATTATTTATTAGTTTTATTATTATTATTATCATTATTATTAAACGAAAGTATTCCGAATTCGTTTTTTTTTTTTCTAAAATAAAAATAACGATATTAATAATAATAATAATAATAGTAATAATAATAATAACATTAATATTTTTATATAAATTTCATTTTAATTTATTTATTTAATTATTTAATTATTAATTAATTAATTCATATTAATAATAATAATAATAACAAGCGTACTATTTTCTTTAAATTTTATATATATATATCTATATGTATATATTCATATAATAATAATAATAATAATGAAAAGCACCTTTTTATTTATTATATATATTTATTTATATATTTTTTTTAAAAAACGAATCCAAATAAAATCGAAACGTGACGTGGTTAAAGAAAAGAAAAAATAAAAATAAAAATAAAAAACAAAACGGAAAAAAAAATGGCTGACCGTTAACGGTCGTTTCCGTCGGTCGTCATCGTTTTCTTAACGTTCCGACAATTTTCTCTTATTTCCTCCCAAATATCCCTTAGTATTATTATTATTATTATTAAACATTTACCGACAAATTTCCCGAATTTGTATCGGCGTAACTTTTATGACACGTGAAAATTATTCCATTATATATATATATAGTACGTATAAAATTTTTTATTCGTCCGCGCGTTTTATTTATCGTTTTTCCTTTTTTAAGGGGGGACCTGGGGTGGGGGGCGTTCGTCGAATGCGTGTACGTAAGCACACGCACTATCCATCCGCATAATTTTTTTTTAAAAATAAAATTCATTTAAGGCATCATGCGTATATGATGTTCATTCACGATGCATATTCGCGCGTTTATTCTACTAACCACTAAACCAAACCTAAACCGTAACTTTCATTATTATTATGACTATTATTATTATTATCATTATCATTATTATTATTATTAATCTACGGTTTATAAGCAAACTAAGCGTTCATTCCGGTGTATTTTTTTAAACGTTTTTTAAAATTCGGGGGCGTCCGCGTAAATACGTGAATTTTTCGTATTATATTTATTGTTTTTTTTTTTTTTTTTTTTTTTTTTTTACGTATCGAACGTTTTTACGACGACCTCCATTTTAAAAAAATATTTTTTTCACGCGCGTACGTGTTTAACTTATCGCCGACGTCATTCACGCACTAAAAAAAATAAAATTACGCGACGTGTATATCTAAACGAAAAAAATTTTATTATTATTATTATTACTTTACGCGTTTCGCACGAACGTGCACGCTACTAAACGTGGCTAACGGACGTGTGTGGGGGGGGGGGCAGAGGAGCTAATTTTTTTCGCGGAAGGGGGGATTCGGGGAAAACGGTTTTTTTTACGAAGGCAAAATTTTTATAACTATTTCGTATAGCAAAAGCGCGCGAGTGGAAAAACCTTAAAATAATCCCCCCCTCCGTTTGATTTGAACGAACGCAAAGAAAACTAATGAAAAACCGTTAGTTTAGTTCTTTTATCTCCCACTAGGTGATAATTTTAGAAATTTTTTTTTTTTTTGCGTTACGCGAGATTTGCGGATATACATAATTTATAGCAAAATAAGAGTATTCATATAAATATACGTACGTGTAAGCAGAAAATGTGTTTGTTTTCTTTTACCTTTTTCCTCGTTTTAAATGGTGAACACGTTTTCTGGCACGCTAAAAATGATTCATATACATATGTAAATAGAAAAAGGAAAAAAAAAAAATTCTCCGTTTCCTCCATTTCCTCCTCCTCTCTTTTTCCTTCTTCCGCTTCTTCTTCTTTCCCTTTTTCCTTTTTCCTTTTTCATTTTTTTACTGCAATTTGCAACTGGCATCTTTTTGAAAATCGTTTGATGCATCCTCGGATGAATCCATATCCGAATGAATGCCGCTGTCCGTCACGCAAACTCTACCGTTTTTTTTAAACACTTTAACTTTCTTCTTACCATCAACGTCACCATCACCATCATCCTCGTTATCTCTCGTCGTAAATTTATATTCTAAAGCGTCACACACTTCATTGTCACTGTCGCTTTCGTTCATCACTTTCACAATTTTTTTTTTTTTTTTCGATTGACACGGCGACAGTGTGTAATATTTAAACACGCTTTGTCGCGGATCGCATAATTCTTCGGTGGCATATTCGTTTTTCGTCGGCAAACCGTTGCGAACGTCCGATATTAAATCCTGACAGAAAGACGCCGAATCCGTTAAAAATTTCAAATGTTTTTTCAATTTTTTCTCCATTAGTTTACCATCCGCGGACGATGATCTCGGCATTCTACCCCTTTGCAAATCATCCCCTCTCGGACATCTGAATTCTCGGTTCACGTGGATAAAGTTATCGGTAATGACATTAGCAACCCTAATGCATCCGTTTACTCCCTGCTGTAACGTATCCACAAAGTCAGAGTTTTTTTTTTTTTTTTCTTTCTCCTCCGGGTTGTTAACTGATAACGCATGCATAGGGTTGCTTTTCCCGTTTTTTGAATCTGACTCATTATTATTATTTTTTTTCTTCTTATCGTTATTATTTTTCATTTTCAAAAATTTTTTTTTTTCCATTTTACTACTACTACCCATGAGAGTTTCGAGGGATTCGACGGGTAACAAATCCACCGATAAAACTTTTTCTGAATTTCCCTGTTCTTGAAGCCACGTGTTCACGGCTTCAACGATTCCCAATTTTCCCTCTCTCGAAACGTTTTCCATTTTTTCACCCTTTGTGGATTCGTCGTCGTCGTCGTTTCCTTCCCTCGTTTCCGTACTACATTTGACGTTTTTTATTTTTTTATTTTTCTCATCCATCTCCTTTTCATCTCCATTCGAAATCTTATCGACGGCATTTTTCATTTTTAACGTATCCCCACCGCCGTTTGACTTACTCCCATCTTTATTAACTTGATTCACTTCTCCGTTGGCATCCGGTTTTTTCATTTGATCTTTCTTATTATTATTATTATTATTATTATTTTTAGTGCAGTCTTTTTTCTTGTCAGATTTTTCCACGATCGGATTATCGATGACGCTAGCGAAAAATTCTTCCGGTTTTGTTGATTTCATACTCGTGATGTTTGTTCTTGTGAAGAGATCGCTGTGTAAATGCTTCGTCGGCGTGAATATATCTTCAATTTTAAATTTAGGACGAGTCCATCCGAATGCTGGCAACATCATCAACATATCCGAATGTAAAGGCAGTTTAGAAAAGTTATTCTTGTTCTCCGCTATTCCCAGAGTTTTCAATATTTCTTCTTCTCCCGTTAACATGGACGCAGCATCCATGTTTGAGATCATGTCCGCTTGATCGTTTTTACCACCTTCCCACGAGGAAAACAACAAATCCTGCGGCTTTTGTAATATGAAATTTGGCAAAAATGAAAAATCTTCTTTAGATTCTTCATCCGGATTCGATTTTTCCTTCACCTCTTCCAACATTTTCTTCTTCTTTTTCTTTTTCTTCTTATTATTATTACTATTATTATTATTATTATTATTGTTATTTTTCCCACTTTCGTTTATCTTAACGTTGTCTTCGTTCTTTTTTTTATCATCAAATTTTTGTTTTAAATTTTCTTTTTCTTTTTGCGCCGTTTCATCATCATCGTCGTCCTCGTCACCGTCGTCATTTTCACGTTTTTCTTCTTTCTCGTTATTATTATTATTTTTTTTTTCAATTTCCAATTGATTATCAATTTTTTCTTTCATCTTATTCGTTTTTCCATCGTTTCCTTTCTTGATATTTTGTTTTAATTTTTCTCGCACGCTTTTATTTATTTCGTTGGCTATTTTTTGTTCCATTTTTCGAACTATGGATTTTTCCGGGGGAGTGTTTTGACCGCTGCTCAATTCGGTCGGCGAACTCAATTCCGAAACCGTTGAACTTTTCTCCGATTGACACTTCATAATCAAATCGTTTTTGTTTTCTTCTATGACTTGTTTTTCCTTTCCCATTGAATTTTCTTCGCCGACTGTGACAACGTACGGTTGTTTGGATGAAATCTTTTTCTCTCTGAATTTAAATTCATTCGTTTCATTTGTTTTCATTTTGGTAACGTAGGAACTCTTATTGTACTTGTTTTTGTTATTATTGAAATTATTATTTTTAACACTACCATTGTAATTTTTCTTTTCTTCGTAGGACGCGTAGTAACGATCTACAAACGTTGATTGTTGTTTTGAATGATTTGTTCGATAGTTTGTTCCGTTCGACGGCATTATTTGATTCGTTCCGTTAACTAATTGACTTTGAGCACTTTTATAGTCGTTTTGAATTTCATTTCTCATACTTTGTACGCCGTCGTTTGTCATTTTAGAAATTCCATTATTGAAATTTTCTAAACCGATCATTGCTTTTCTTGCATACGTAACTTTATTCGGACTGTAATTCGTTTTCGAATCTGACTTTTCGAAACTCTCCCCCCCCTTCATTTTTCCACCCCCTTCGTTAAACTGCATTCGTTTCTGATACATTTTTCGTGGCGATTCTTCTTGGTATTTTTTCGGTGATGAATTATGATATTCTTTGTACTTGTTTCGTTGAATTTTCCAATTTCCTTTTGTGCCGACTTCGTTTCTCACTTGAGACGATAACAGGAACTCTGATAAATTATTATTATTATTATTATTATTGTTATTGTTGTTATTGTTATTATCATTATTACTACTACTATTATTATTATTATTATTATTAGCACTAGTCATAGTAGTGGGAGTAGTAATAGTAGTAGTGGTAGTATTGCTTTCATTTTTTTCGTTTCCTCCTTCCTTTTCCGCATTTAAATCTAATGTCTTATTGCTTTGTATTGTTTGTTCAGGAAGAGTTTGAGTGCTGTGAGATTCTTTTTCGGAATTTTCCGATTTGAGAGTTGTAACTGATTTATCATTTATTTCAACTGAACTCGTTTGAGTGCTATGACTGAACTTTTCAATCATTTTCTTTTCTTCTTTCGGACGAAATTCTACGATCCCTTCCACTCTCAACTTTTGATTATTATTATTATAATGACCGTTAGTAACTTCTTTTTGTTTATTGATTAATGGCGTCGATGACTTTTCTATCGGTGGTTTAATATCCTGTATTTTCCCATCATTTTTATCGTCTTTTACATTTTCCAACGAACTTTGAGGTTTCGATTCTGGACTGTTTAACAACCCATTTGTAAGATTTCCATTTGCACCGCTCTAAAAAAAAAAAAAAAAAAAAAAAATAATAATCGTGGCATATATATATCGGGGAGAAAATGTGTAAAAATTGAAAAATTGATAGAGTGCAAATTCACTCTTACCACAGACTTATCTTCCCCAATTTCTGATTTGTTATCATTTGAACACATGGCTTCAGTCGTGGTGTTAAAATTATTTGTATGAACAGGCACGCCTAATACATAAAATTTATTTATTATTAAATCTTACAACAACAACAAATTTTTATTCACGATCATAAAAAAAAAAAATGACTTACCACTATAAACGGGAGATTCGCTGAACATGTAACCCGGTACTATGTAAGCCGGTTGTTGATACAAATTAGACATTTGAGCATCGGGACTGTGAAAATTATGACCGTTATCTCCATTTTGTCCCGAATTATTTAGCGTATCCGTTTGTGGACTTCTGGGATAAGATGGCGTCCAGGCCGAACCCTGCGAAGGCCAATCTGAACCCGGCGGATACCAATCAACCGGTTGCAAAGGCACTGGTTGACAGGATACAGCTGCTAATACTGGTTGTGTTACTCCGTTTGTGTATGGTGGAGGACCCACGACAACGGTCACGGTGTTCGAATAAGGATCGTAGATTTCGTAGCTGTTTCCGTTAACTAAATAATGACCGCGTTCGTCAACGAAACCATTTGTTATTATTATTTGCTCCATTATTCGATCTTCGTTTTCAACTTCTGAAAAGTATCAAGAAAAAAACTTTTTTTTCCAAAACCTTAAATTTTCTCTCGTTGGGAAATAATAAAAGAAAAATTCGAATCACTTTTCATCACGTAATTTTTTTTTTTTTTACGGGGGTGTTTGGGTTCCTCATAAACGCGACGTAATTTCATTTAATAAACTGAATAAGAAGTACGCCTTATTTTTTTCAAAATTTTAAATTAAGAAAATTTATTTTTAAAAAACCGGAAGTTGATAAAAAAACGTATTAAATCAAGGTAATACATTAAAATGCTAAAAAATTATTATTATTATTAAGTTGGATTTAATTTCTTTTTTTTTTTTTTAAACATAAACATATATTACTTTATGTAAGTGTACGTATGAAATTAGCGGTCGTTTTCTAGTTTGCCAACCTAACAAAAAAAAAAAAAAAAAAGACGTGGCAGTAGTGGTAGATAAAAATCCCCTTATTATAAGATCTCTAACTAACTATTAGCAATTACATTTCGTCTTTTGTTGATACATCGTCGAATGAATAATAATGAAGTAATTTATTTTGCCTTAATGACAAATTCAACCGCAATGAAGTATTTCGAAAAAAAAAATATGTATTTATATCTATCTATTGAAATTAACATGAAATCATCGATCGTCTCAGATTAATAGAACAACACTTTAAAAACATGTCGACAAAAAAAAATTGTTTAAATAGTTAGGTGTTAATAAATTTTTGATAATAATAATCTAATCGGCCGTGATACAAGAAGGACAATTTTAACAAGTACTTAAAAAAAAAATAATAATAATGATGATGATTATGATGATGATGATGATGATGATGATGATGATGATGACATAGTTAGCTCTTAAAAAAATTAAATCGCGTAAATAAGTTTTTTTTTTTTTTTAAATTTAAATTTAAGAAATCGCGCGCGTTAATTTTCATTTTTTTTTCCCCCGCATCGCACAGGAAGTCATAGAGATGATAAACGTTTCGGGGATTTAGAAAAAAAAAAAAAAAAAAAGGAATTCGAGTAAATAAACAATGATTGACTCGATGCCCGCGTTTTTTTTTTTAAATATGACTGATTGATTGATTGATTGATTGATACGTACCTCCTGCGTGATGTGTTGTTTCTTCAATGGACGATTCACGCTTACGACCGAAATAACCTTTTTTAAATAAGACATCTTGACGCGGCGTAGTTATCTTTGTATATTCCTCTGAAAAAAAAAATTTATTATTATTATTATTATTATTCTATTCATTTCCCTCCTCCTCCTCCTCCTACTCCTTCGAGAAAAAAAAAATCAATAAATATTGATGAACCATTATTGTCAAAATAAATTTTAAAAAACTTAAAACTAAAAGTCAGGTGACTTGTCGTAAAAACTAAAACGCCATCATCATCATCATCATTATTATTGTCGATTTAACAAAATGGCTACTACCCCCTACTAAACTTTGCGTGTTGTAGTTTCTTCTTCTTTTATCATTATTATTTAATAAATAAAAACCGATATTGTGGGAAGTAAAATGTGAAAAGAAAAAAAAAACCCAACCGTTAAAAATTACAATATTTACCCGTGTGAGCTCGTGTCAAAGGTCAACCATTTCGTTTTTTTTTTTTTTATCAAAACGTACAGATATGTGTGTGCGTTCTAAATGAATATTCAATTTAAATACGACGACCGTTACAACCGTTTTCTGCGTATTTTAAACACCACACCAGTTTTTTTTTTGTTTTTTTAAATCCCCTTTAAAATGGCGTCGTTTACATAAAGTTTTTATGCATTTTTCTTTTTCCCACTACATTAAAGACTAAATATTAAAAAAAAAAAAAAAAATTGTTTACGATTTTCCCAACCCGTAGTTTTACTATTAAAAAAAAAAAAAAAAAAAATTACAGTTAGTGGTTTCGTGACTGACTCGAATTTAAACAACATCCTAAGAAAAAAAAAGGTAACTAATAATAATTTTTTTTTTTTTTTTTTTTTCATTTCTATTTTACGAATTTTCATTTGTCAACTTGCTTTAAAATAATGAAATAATAATAATAATAATAATAATAAAACTGGGAAGTATATTAAAAAAAAAATGTTTGCCATACTAATTATGTGATTTCATGAAATTTTCAAACAAACAAAAACGTGTCAAAATCATTGTCACGTTGTTGTTGTTTTTGTTGGTAGTACTGAATTTTTTTTTTTTTAAAAACCAATAATTAATTTTTGTTACTTCTTACGAAAAGAAAACAAAATAATAATAATAATAATAATAATAATAATAAAGTTTCACTCGGTGGCAATTAACAAAAGTTGCCAACTTAAAAAAAAAAAAAAAAATTTTTGTTTTTTTACGAGCGAGACAATTTTTTTTTTGATTTTTCTTTTTACACGTCTTCTGCCTGTCTCACAACAACAACAACAACAACAACAACAACACGTATAAATAAGTTAAATGTCGCCGCCATATTTTTATAATTACATCAAACGGTATAATTTTCTCGCGTTAAACCCTCTCCCCCCCCAAAAAAAAAAAAAAAAAAAAAAAAAAAACAAACCTTACGAAAAAAATTTTTTTTTTTTTCTTTTAAACGTGAATTAATATTCTAATTGGGTTACTTACGAACGTACGTAAGTACGTATGTTAAACAAAAAAAAAACGAAATCTCATACATTTATGCGCATAAATTAAAAAAATGAAAAAAAAAAAATAAACGTATATCTTTACTGATGCATATTTCTAAAATAAACATCTCATTTTATGTTTTAAAGATGGTACCACTGCAAGCACAAATCTATTTACACGTTTATTTATTTATTTTTTCATTTTTTGCATTCGTTGCGCACTCGTTTAAAGTATCATCATTATCACCATCAACTATCATCATCCCTTCGATTATTTTCGACTGTAATCGAAGTGGAAATTCGTAGGGAGGAGGAGCGGAGTGGAGGGGAGGGGAAGGGGAAGAGCAAAAAAATAAATTTAACGCAATATTAAATCCTGACACGTAAATGTATGTTTTTGCGAGGTTTATTACGTAACTTTCTACCTGGAAAGGAATTGAAAAAGGCGGGAGACGGGGTACGGGGGGGGGGGGGTAAAAAAAGGGTTTGCGTTTTACGTTCGAAATTATTATTTTTTCAATAAATAAATAATACGAGTGGGAATAACGCGAAAATTATTGTTAACTTCTTGGATGTTTTTTTTTTTAAACGAAATGTATGCGTATCGTAATTTATACGTCGCTAGCGTCGCCATTGATAATAAATAATACAACTCATTTCGTTTCCTATCAGTCAAACTAATTATCTTAACTGCAGACCATAAAAAAAGGAAAAAATATCGAAAATTCAGTCTCTTTAAGTTAATTAAATCCACACGCACTCACACACACACGCACACACGCACACGCACATGCACATGCACACACGTGAGCTACACTTTGTTTTAATAGGATACCCACCGAAAGACAATAATAATCCTCTACCTGTGTGCGTGTGTGTGTTTTTACTCTCTTTCTACCTGTACCTACTACAAACTTCCTGGAATTATTTTTTTTTTTAACAGTTTTTATAAATTATTTTCCTGTCTGTCTCTCTCTCTCGAAAAAAAAAAACGGTAATAAATCAATAATAATAATAATGAAGGAAAATGAAAAAGACAAACTTCCAGATAATGTAACTGTTGAAAGATAAATATTTATGTTGGGCATTATCACGTCTTTTAAAAGATGGAAGAGAGAGAGAGAGAGAGAGAGAGTTTTTTGGTTTTTTTGTTTTTATTTTCGAATTGAATTCTGTCACACAGACGATGCACGGATGAAATTCAAGAAGTAACGGTTGTTTCCGTTTCGAAAATAAAAACATTTCCGGCTGAGTCGAGGAGGGAGGAGGAGAAGAGGGGGAAAAGAAAGAAAACAAACAGACAGACAGATAAACAAATAACAAACACGTGAAAAAATTATTTATATAAATTAAAAGCTTGACAATAACAACAACAAAAAAAAATTTTTTTTTTTTTTTTTGTTTACCGACAAATTTCCCACCGGAGTTCGTTACCCGTTCGAAAAATAAAAAATAAAAGTGAAAAAAAAAAAACATAAAAAAATAAAAAGAAAAGAGACCGTGAGAGAAAGAGAGAGAGAGAGAGAGAGAGAGATGTGAAAAATGTCGACGGAAATATATAGAAATGATTTTTTGTTTGTTTGTTTCCGTTTTCTCAAAACATGACGACATTTTTTTTTTTTTTCAAAGAGACGACACGCGAAAAAATTATTTTTTCCAAAACCGGTTTTTTATTATGTAAAAATAATAATAATGATTATTGTTTTCCAATTGAACGAATAAAATTTTTATCGAAGGAGTCGTGGCAGGGGGGAAAAAGACGAAAACAAATTGAATTTTTGTTTTTGCAGGGAAATTTTTCCCCGTTTGAAAAAGGGAAAAAAGAAAAAGAAAAGAGGGGAAAAACAATTTTTTTTTTTTTTAAAAAATTATTCCTCCACATATTTTTATGAAAAAAATCAATACGCTCTGGCATTTTTAATAAATTGAAAACTCAAACCAAACCGTTTTTTTCCATTTCCTTTTTTCCTTTTATCCTTTTTCGAATGCAACGATAAAAAAAAAAAGAAAAAAATTATTTATTTATTTTGTTCGTTCTTACCTTCGTCGAACGTCTTGCTTTCCAATTTAACAAGTGGCTCCTTGTTTTTGTGCCTGTCGTATGAAAATTTTCGATTTGGTTTAAACGGCTTTTCGCTCGATTTGAAATAAAATTGTGCCTGAGGTTTGATATTGTTTGTAATGATTTGTTGTCCGACGATTGACGAAGTCGTCGATTGATCTTCATCGTGTATTTCTTCTTCGTTACCGGAACCCCCAGCCCCTGCAAAATTAGCAATTTTTTTTTTAAAAATTCATTAAACGTGGTAAAAGACTCAAATCGTATAAAAACAAAATGGCGTTTGAAAATCTACCGCCAC